CGTCAGGCACCCACATCCCGGCTGGACCGGTAGCACCATCCCGCTCCAGCGGGACCCAGCGCATCGTGGTGCTTTGCAGGATGAAGTCCGGCTCCTTCCTGAGCACGGGGTGGTTCACCATGATCCTGGCCATGGAGCTGTGCGAGCAGATCTGCGTCTTCGGCATGGTCAGCGACAGCTACTGCAGGTGCGTGGGGAGCAGCAGGCACAGGGTAACCCAGTGTCCCCCCGAGTCCTACAGCCACCCCATCCCTTCCCGCCAGGGAGAAGAACCACTCGAGCGTGCCCTACCACTACTTCGAGAAGGGCCAGCTGGACGAGTGCAGGATGTACCTGGTGCACGAGCGAGCCCATCACGCCGGGCACCGCTTCATCACCGAGAAAACCATCTTCTCCCGCTGGGCCAAGAGGAAGAACATCATCTTCACCCACCCATCATGGGCAGGCCGCCAGCCGCAGGGTGAGGCAGCAGGGCAGCTCTTATCCTGCAACGACATACCCTGGCTGCACCGGTGCCATGGGTGAAAGCCTTTTGCCAAGCCCCAGGGTGGGGAATCTCCACCTCTCCAGCAGCAGGGCCAGTTCCTCCAGCCGGTGGGTGGGCTGAGACACCCCCCCACACACGTTGGTGCACAGGGGTGTGAGCTGGACCCACGGAGCCCCATCAGCTCCAAGCACTTTTCTGATGGACCCAGTGCAACCACGGAGGTTTTCCACCTGCTCTGCTGGGGTGAATATTTAACGCGGGATTAAGCATTCGTGCCGCTGGGCTCCAGCGTGACAGCGGCACAGCTTGGCCTTGCCAGGGCTGTGAGCTGGTGGTTCTCCCAGGGATGAAGCTCCACCACGGTCCTTGCCCCACTGATGCCCTGAGACCTGGTGCTGCATGTGGGGTGCAGGGAGTCAGCTCTGGGCTCCCCCATCCTGCTGCCTTCTGCTGCTCTGTGCCGGGGCAGGTCCCTGTGGTCCCCTGCAAGCCCCCAGCTGGGATGCTCTGGGGCCACATACAGCTCAGGGGGGCTTCAAGTTGCCTTGTCACAAGTGCCCTTGGATTCAGACCAAAGCAAACGTGGCCATTAAAAGCATTTTTAACTCGGTGGTGTCTTATGCTGCGCCCCTTAGGGCTGTGGGATGTGGAGATGAGGGACAGCAGCTGGTCTCTGGGCTGCCAGCATCCTGCTCCCCTGCCAGGCTATAAATAAGGTGACAAGGGGGTAGAGCTGAGCCTGGGTGTGGAGGAGAGGGCCAAAAGCTGGTGGTGGAGATCATTTGGGAACCAGCAGCTGTGTCTCAACCAGGTCACTCTGTAAGATGGGCGCTGAGCTGAAGTGGATTTTGTGCTGGGTCCGGTCTGATCTTTGGCCTCCATGCAGGGCAGCTGCTGCCAGCTCTGGTGTCTGTGGAGACATGGGGCACACCATGGACACGTGTGTGTGGCCTTGAACCCGGCTGCAGCTCTTGGAACCCCTAGCAGATGCCATGTATTTGGGTGGGCTTGGAGGTGTCCAGGGGAGCAGGGATGAGCAGAAGGGGCAGAGGGAGCCACGCTCACTCCCGTTTCAGGGTTTCAAGTGAGGAGCGAGTTGCCTGGAGGTGCTGCCAGGACAGTGAGCCAACAGCGAGTGTGAACCAAAAGCCGGTGGGGCTCTACCTGGTTGCCACAACCCCACGCAGGGAAGG